TACTATTTAGTCACAAAAAGCCGTACTATTTAGTCACAAAAAGCCGTACTATTTAGTCACAAAAAGCCGTACTATTTAGTCACAAAAAGCCGTACTATTTAGTCACAAAAGCCGTACTATTTAGTCACAAAAAGCCGTACTATTTAGTCACAAAGCTTATTTACCAATAAATGGAATTTCTGTGTCTACTATTTAAGAAATTATTTAACTGTTTGTTAATCATGTGATGGTAAAGAAAATTATTGATAATGTTAGAAAAATGTAATATTTATTTTTTGGTATGTTGGCTGTGTATTATATTTGATAATTAATTATGTTAATCAAACACCACTTAAATTAGCTAATACTTCTTAAATAATTGGATGATCAGTTAAAAAATAATTGAAATTTGAACCCTACCATGACCAAAGCAAACTAACATCATTTTTATATTGTCTTAGTTTACGACTATTGTTTCACCTTCAACAACGATAAATTGCAGAAAACTTATTAAAGTTCATAACAAGTAAAGTCATTGAAATTGATCAGGAAAATGAAATGAATTGGACTGTTGGTGAGGGGAAGTTCGAGAAATACATATTTCTATGTCATGGAACATGAAATAACAATCCAGAAGTGAAATACAGAACTTAAAATGTAAAATCACGTGAAAGAAGAAGACATTCTCCATTTAATGCAGCTGTCACTTTAACGAGAAGTTCATCGTAAAAATCCAAATATTGTGCAGTTTACAACTTACGTTTTGTCTGTTTTAGAGCAAAGCCACATTGGGCCATCTGCTGTGTCCATCATGGGGGAACTGAATTCCATATTTTAGTGTTGTAAGTCCATAAACTTACCAGAAAAGCTTGTGTTTTGTAAAGGTAAGGAACAGTGACTTCAGGTTTAAAATAGTCTGTTACACACAAGAAGATTAAACTTGTAGTACTGTAAGTTTATTATAAAAGTTCTGGCTCAGTTCCTACTTTTGAATTTTGATGTCCATAAAGCCAGTGTTTAAATGTAACAAATCACAAAATATATAAAAGCATAGGTGGAAAATTCATAAACTTAAACTGAACATGATAAATGCAGGAATCTTAACAACTTTACATTTATGTTGCTGGTTTTTATACAAGTATTTAGGCCTCCCAAACTCCTGATATTTCACGATAACAGAACTTGTTCTTTAGCTCATATAAATACACAAAAATCACAGTGTGATTTATTTTAAATAAAGGATGTATTGTAATGCTACTAGTGCTACTTATGATTTTGTGAAACACAAAATTCTATGAAAGTAACGAAGAGAGTCGTAATTAAATGCAATATCGGTTTTCACTAAAAGTAAGTTATATAAATGTTACGATAAAATATACTAAATGATTATATTTCAATGTGGACATTTGTTTTATTATTAAACTTGTGTGTGTGTGTATATATATATTTATTATTATTTTAAATTAGCAAGAGCAAGAACTTGATCTGTTGGAATGAAGAAGGGGAATCATTCTGTAACTAAATACACAAATGTAATTTTATTTTTCTATTTAACCTTGTTTGCATAATAAAGTCATGGTCCCTCTACTTGTGTATTGGGTAAAGAAATGAAATAAACAGTATATTCTTTAGTAACAAAACAGTAATTAAAACTAAGAAAACTAGTTACGAGGGATGTTCTAGCAGTGAACGATAGATTCTACATTTTCTTCAAGTGCGCAGCTTGAAAATGTGTACACACACACACTTCATTGCTTAAAATATTTAGCAATCCAGTGACTCAGTAACGATTCTACAGGTTTATGGCCAGGTGGATAAGGCGAATCCCCGTCCCACCAAACATGCTTGCCTTTTCAGCCATGGGGGCGTTATAATGTGACGGTCAATCCCACTATTCGTTGGTAAAAGAGTAGCCCAAGAGTTGGCGGTGGGTGGTGATGACTAGCTGCCTTCCCTCTAGTCGTACACTGCTAAATTAGGGACCGCTAGTGCAGATAGCCCACGTGTAGCTTTGCGCGAAATTCAAAAACAAAAAAACAATCTACAGGTTTATGATGCTACAAATTGAGTTTCAATATCCATGATGGGCAGAACACAGGTAAACCATTTTGTGGCGTAGCGCTTAACAACAACCAAACTTAAATTATTTATGAAATAATAAAGTCTGTAAAGGAGAAGTGAGAAGAAGGAAAAGTTTACTTTGTTCTAAGATTGTACTCTATGTTACTCTATCACTTGTTAACGTTTAGTACAATTTTTTTCAGAGATATTTTGAAAATATCCTTGTTTATTTATTTATTTATTTTTATTTCAAAATATACACATGTAGATTATTTAATTGTTCTGAAATAGACAGGCAATGAATATGTAATTTCATGTCTGCTGTTTGCCGGAATAACATACTGGTGTTTTATAACATTTTACATATATATGTATAATGTTTTAAACTAGTTGAATACTACTTACCTTGACTAAGCTATGTCTATGATTTATAAAAAATTGCATCAGGCTTGAAGTGTTATAACTGTGAAAGTCAATCCTGCTAATTTAAGTGAGAGTAGTGACAGAGGTGGTTACACCTGAACCTTAGGGGTCTCTGACATGTCTCGCACGTAAGATAAGGTGCCATTTAGTTCGAAAATATTAAACATCCATCACTTGTAACCAGCTTTAAACAATCATGTTTAAAAAGCATTTAATTAACAATGCATATGTAACTATTCTTACATTGGGTTCCAAATAATTGATAGTCAATATTACTCAACTAGTTTAAAACTTTAGGAAATCTTGTTTTTTTATGATGTTACTATTGTGAAGACATAACCGCATATAAGCAGTTATCTGAATTTAAAATTTTGAAGATATATTTATTTGTAACTTAGTTTCTATGCTACTTGTAGGTTATTTTTTAATGTAAAAATTAATCCAATTTTTGAGCTTTGATATATAATTTGATGGCTACAAGTTTCAAGGGTTTAAAACTGTGGTTGGAACAAAAAGAGAATGTTAATTATGAACAACTGTTTGTACATATATTATGAAATTGTATTAAAAGTTATTTTGAGGTTATTGGCAAAAAAGATTACTTTTTTTTTCTAAAATGTTTAATCACTGGTTCTTTATTTGCTTAAAATTGCGGTATAAAAAACCCTATATTTAATATATTCAAACAAGTTGACGGTCTCTCTCTATCTATATATATATATATATATATATATATTGATGTATGTAATATCAGTGCTAGAACATATATCAAGGTCTTGTCTTCCTTTTAACAAATTAATATCTATTTTACAAAGTTCTATTGGGCAGATGTTATATTTTATATGTGAATTGTAAAACACAAATGCATCTATTAAATGTATTTTCCACCTCTGTATTTGTGTTTTTATTTTCTTTAGTAATTTTTCATTTCCTCCTGTAATTCTACTTAAAGAACACTTGTCTTAATCAGCTGACATATTTTCATGTTAGTAGGCAGGTTGATACTGTGATTTAGAAACACTGACATTAATTGTAAGAATTTATAATGTTTCTTTGTGAGTAGAGTAGGCAGGTTGATACTGTGATTTAGAAACACTGACATTAATTGTAAGATTTTATCATGTTTCTTTGTGAATAGTGGATTACTCTGATTTAGGAACTGACATTAATTGTAAGATTTTATCATGTTTCTTTGTGAGTAGAGTGGATTACTCTGATTTAAGAACTGACATTAATTGTAAGATTTTATCATGTTTCTTTGTGAGTAGAGTGGACTACTCTGATTTAGGAACTGACATTAATTGTAAGATTTTATAATGTTTCTTTGTGAGTAGAGTGGATTACTCTGATTTAAGAACTGACATTAATTGTAAGATTTTATCATGTTTCTTTGTGAGTAGAGTGGACTACTCTGATTTAGGAACTGACATTAATTGTAAGATTTTATCATGTTTCTTTGTAAGTAGAGTGGATTACTCTGAATTAGGAACTGACATTAATTGTAAGATTTTATCATGTTTCTTTGTGAGTAGAGTGGATTACTCTGATTTAGGAACTGACATTAATTGTAAGATTTTATCATGTTTCTTTGTGGGAACAGTGGATTACTCTGATTTAGTGACTGACATTAATTGTAAGATTTTATCATGTTTTTTTGTGAGAACAGTGGATTACTCTGATTTAGGAACTGACATTAATTGTAAGATTTTATAATGTTTCTTTGTGGGTAGAGTGGATTGCTTTGATTGAGGAACAAATACTAACATTAACCTCATTGGATTAATTTTTTTTTACTGTGAGTGTTGTTAGTTAGGTTAAATTTTTACAAAAGTTTGACCAGGTTGAATATTTTTTGATAGAATTAGCTCTTTAAGTGTACTTTCTGGCATTAATAAATAATGAAATTGTTTGGTGAGAAAATATTAAGTTTCTTATGTTGGTGCTTAGATAATACCTTGTCTACTGTCATATATATAAGAGGTGTGGGGTTATTTTAAAGAAACTTACCAGGTGACTGTTGTAAGATATCATGGTGGAGAACATAGGCTTAGCTGCCTTGTTGAATAATGTATATATTTGCTATTTTGTTTGTTCTGTGATTTTTATTGTTATTTACTATTTATTCTGATACACATACAAGTCCCCCATTTTTTAATTGTAGCCTATTTATGTAAACTTATTTCTATGGTTTACCTTATATTAGGTCGTCAAGAAATTAATGTCGCCTTTTTTTAGATGAAAAACCCGAAAAACTTGTGTATCAAAACAAAACATTTATTAAATGAAGTAGTTTCCTTTCTTATCGATGATGCTTTTCCATCTTACAATCAGGATGTTAATGCTCTGATTAAATAAATCACTTGGCTTTGAAGCAAAAAACATGTCGATGTCCTCTTTAACACCTTCCACATTTGCATATGTTTTCCCATTAAGAGGGTGTTGCAGCGAACGAAACACATGGTCATCTGATGGTGACATATCTGGAGAATATGGTGGGTGGGGGAGAACTTCCCAACCCAACTCCATAATCTTGTGTTGCGTCGAACGTGCCACATGTGGACATGCATTGTCATGGAGAAGAACACCACCTTTCCGATTGACGAGAGTTTTTGATGAAGGGCTTGATTTAAACGTTCCAGTTGCTAACTGTAGATCTCTGCATTGACGGTTTGCTGTGGATTTTGAGATGAATTACTCCTTAGATGTCCCACCAAATACAAAGCATCACTTTCTGCGAATGGAGTCCAGGTTTTGGGGTCGGAAGTGGTTTTTGTCTAGGACTGAGCCATTGTTTTTGGCGTTTAATATTCACATGGAGAATACATTTTTCATTACCGGTGACAATTAAGTGTATCGCAAAGTTATATTCACAAAGAATAAACCAGTTTTATTTAAGAAAGGACTTGTGTCGCTAAAGTTTCGTCGGAACGAATTTACGGAAAATTAACTAACGAACGGAGACGTAACAGTAATAAAGGATTAATTGATAGGACTGACCAGACACACCTTTGACCTATAGATAACAGTTCGCCAGCATGATGCGTTATTCGTCATTATAAAAAGACTATTCTTGGAACCGAATAACGGAGTGAACTGTTACTTCTATATGGCGCTCACAGATGAAAGAGTAAGGCGTGTTTAGCGGCATCACGTCTAGAATATTAAACCTTTCTATTCGTAACTAAACAAGTTAGCCACTAAGTTACATCAGGCCTAATAATGTAAATTCGTTTCGATATTGGAACGAAATTTACTGAAGTTATGTTAATAAATTATACTGGCTAATTTTCAATAAGTTAAGATAGTCGACGTACTATTAGCATTGGAATAAAAAACAAACAGAGATTACGCATATAACTTCGTTCATTTTCTTTTCACCATAAACAAACTTGGGTAATTATTGAATCAAACACTGGTTTGCATGCTAACATACGAATATTTAAAAAACTTTGAAATACCGATATTTATCATAATCATATTTCAGTGAAGTCCCAAAACAAATTTAAGTAATAATATTTTTCATTTGTTAAAAATTATTCATAAAAATACAACTTAATATTCTTCATATATAACTCGATATTACAAATTTAGAAGCTAATTAAAACATATTCAACAAAAGACTGCTCGATCAGCATCAAAATTTAAAGAAGCTAAATTTATTTGAACAAAAAATCAAGACTCACGGTTAGCGAATTGCGCGGCAAAGGAAAAAGTAAGGACGCGCACCTCAAAACATGAAGCCATTACCTAGCCTCGTTACACGACGTGATTGTGTACAAAATCTCTGAAACTTATCCATTAGAACAGCTATACTTTAGATATTACAGACTGAAAGCCACCAAGACATCAGTAGTTAGTACACACAAAAAATGAATCCTTCAACCATTTCCGAGATACAGCCTAGCCAAATTTGATCATATTATTCGTTATCGCACAGACAATTTGTTTTTACGTCGCTCGTGTTTAATTTTCAAACCTCAGCCGTCATCTCAATCTTTGTCCGATTGCTTTGAAATTAATATCACTGCTTCCTTCATGTTCACTCTACAAGCAGTAATGGCTTGAACCAATAAGTTTTGTGGCCTACAGGGCTAGTTTTAGCTAAATCAAAATCTAGATTTTAAATGTCCTTTAAACTTTACAAAGATAAACGATACCATTACTTTTGTTTGTTTTTTTTTTTGCAAAATTTCGTGTAATTCTGAGTAGTTTTCTTGTAAAATGTTTGTAAAAATTTAAATCGCCTGTGCCAATGGGTGGAATTTATATTGACTTCCTATGTAAACACGCGAGTTTTAATTGTTTGCTGTCAAAATTAACATGCATATAATCATACACAAGAAGAACTAAATGACAAGTGACTCATACTAGTGCTATTGTTAATAAAATTAACAAAATAATTATAAACCAAGTATAGAGTTTACTTTTTTAGCAAGTAATATTAAACTGTGTTCAATAATATTGGTTACCTTGACTGTATTCTGATTTGAATTCTTTTAGTCGCTATTTGTATAATAAATATATATTTTTTTCTTTTTTACAGCCAAACTGTTTTTGGTTTAATTTACGTTTGTTCTTAAGTACAAAGCTACAAAATGGGCTATCTGTGCTGTGCCTTTTATAGGTATCGAAACTCGATTTTTATAAAAAATATGTAATTCAAATGAAGAGTTCAAGTCAAATGTCACATGTTGGGTCAACAGAAAATTTACGGACTTAAAAATACGAGGTTCAATTTCCTGCAGTGTACAGAGTGCAGATTGTACATTGTGTAGCTTTGGGCTGGAATAACAACAATCCTTAATGAAGGGCATTGGTCGCTAAAATATTATCTATTATTATCACTTGTTAATTTCATTATCTGTATCAAAAATAAAATGGTTCTGTTTATTCTACAATGTATGAAAAACATTGGGGAACCTAATAATTGTCCAAGTAAACATAAGATGATTTTGTTCTACCTCGTATTTCTGGTTCTAAAACAAAAGCTTACACGCTTTGACGTCACAATTATGGTCGTTGTTTTTTTTAATATAAAATCTGATAACTAGATTTAATAATTACTTACATACGAAAAACTTTTTTCTTTTGTGTCTTTAAAATTCCGTAATGCATACAGTGATTACAGACATAAAAAAGTTTCATGATTTAGTTTCCCACAAGATCTACCGAGATGTAAATCATAGCTGCATCACTCTAAAGGCAAATGTTTCACATTCTCACGGCATAGCAAAATATGCAGTGAACATTTCACAGCAAGCCAGTATTTAAGACTCGTCAAGACGTCCCAGGCCTTACGATAAAATAAAACATGGAGACCTCCATCATCAAAAATGCGTCAAGGTTACGACTACAGTCAAAGGCGAGAGGTACGTTTTTCATTTGTCAAATATTAGGATAAAAGAAATGCGTTTATAAAAGTATGATGGCAGTACCTCAGATTGCTACTTCCTCCCTTGCATAGATATAAATCACACTAGATTGGAAGTCACGTGATTTTCGGCATGCGCAAGCGGCCGCCATTCCTACGTTGTTGAACTTTCAAAGCCCACCAGTCAAACTGAAAATGGCAAGACGATCTCACATCACAAATTATGGCCGTTTTCCATCTAATCTAGACGTTTGGATAATTTTGTTATTTGATTTTAATAAATTTGTCAAGCCAAGGTGAATTAATCCTGAAATAAGTGCAAAAATTGTTCATAAAACACACATATCTGATCTGTCATATGAAGAATGCATTGGATTTTAGACCAGGGAGAAATCTTAAGATTAAAATCTGTTATTTTTCCTCGGTGTTTATTACGTGTCACAGAAAAATATACATCTCAAATATTGTTGTCAATGAACAAGAAGTGGTGCATCATGTCATTTTCTGGGGGGTAGGGGTTGGATAAGAATGTTATTTATGTATCTGCATTCAACGTTCTTAATTGAAGTGGATGGAAATAATTAAGAAATCTTATAATATAAATATAATAAAATTCATTCGGATTTATTTGAGAATTTGTGGCAAAAATAGATACAAATGCTTGAAATATATCTATATACATACAACATGAAGTCCAAAAGAAATAACCCAAATCATTACACCTATTTCATCAATGATGCATTACACATACTGTACTAGATCTAAAGACAATAAATTTAGCAATATTACTCTTTTAAAGACCCCTTTACCTCTTTTTACCGAGTTACGACCGAATTGTTATGTTTTCCTCTCCTCCCTCCACCGACTACTCGATATTTTTGGACCTGAGCCCCTTCCCTCCAAATGGTCTTATAATTCAAGGCTTGAAGTGTAGGAAAACACTTTGCTACAACTCCAATTTTATCGCAGCTTACCTCATGTACATAACCAGTCTCATACTGTAAAGAAAAAAATATAGAATTCTTCATAATACTGTAAATTTATCATCTTGGTGAAACCCAGTTTAAGATATTTCACTAACATTATTATTATTCTGTAATCAGAATAAAATCTTTTGGATGAAATGCTGACATTCTCCTCATTAGATTGTTTGTTATGGATTTCGCGCAAAGCTACACGGGGGCTATCTGCGCTAGCCGTCCCTAATTTAGCAGTGTAAAACCCACTCTTTAACTAACGAATAGTGGGATTGACCGTCACATTATAACGCACCCACGGCTGAAAGGGCGAGCATGTTTGGTGTGACAGGGATTCGAACCCACTTTTGAATGTCGACATAACAAAGTCAGGTTACTTAATTATGCAAAACATTTTATTTTACATGAAAATCATATATCATCGGTGTAGTGCAAGATATGTGCAGATTAAAGCATGAAAACATTTGATCCGATATATTTAACTGATGTTAACTTCAGAAAAATATGACAAGTTATGAAATTACAAATTATATAAACTTTCATGTGCAAGTGAAGTTGTAAGTTTTAAATAGGACAACTTTATGGGTTTATACTTAAATAATTAAAAACAACTGTGACGTGTCATTTTTCATTACCATTTAATTAGTCTGGCGTTGTCTAATCTGCATACCATGATATATATCCAATATTTGCTGTAATTACCTGTGCGTCTTATTCTACCATTGTTAGATATACAAGACTGTTTAGTGTGTTATTATTTAGTTTATTTTGTGACTTAATATTTAATGATTGTTTAGTTTTGATGACAGGAGTGTTGAAGATTGATTGTTTTAAAAGTGTTAGTTGCGACAAATATTTGTTACATAACTCTGTACGAGTCGTACTATGTGTTTGCAATTATAATGTTGTCTATGCTTTACTAATATCGCTTACGTCACGTTACTCGAATATTCGATATTTTTCTCGTTTCCTTAACTGAGTATTGTTACATTATAGCGTCGCTCGCGCAGTTTATAGAAAGTTAGAGGCCTCAGTGAATAATATATAATTATAGGCGACCAAGTGAGCGCAAGTCAAGTAAAGTAGAGAAAAAGTGAAGTGAAAGTAAAGTTCAGTTAGAAAAAAAGGTTAGAAAACGGAAAGTTAGCCAGCGTTTGAGTGATTAGCCATAACAAGCGATATTTTAAAGTGAGTTTCACAGTTTAATAGAGATAAGGAGAATAAGTTGTCTTGTCAAAGTGTGTTCTAAAGTAATTGAACCCGCCTGTGTGGACTTTGACGAAAATGAGATAATTATTTAAGGTTCAGGATATAACTGTGGTAAGCAACAGGGTAACGTAAATGAATTATTCATTGATACTATTGTGATAATAATAATAAAAATAATTCGTCTTGGATTCTAAATAATTGAATCAGCCTTTGTGGACTTTTGACAAGAAAAGAGAATTTTAAAGTTTTATATACAACTTTGATATCCCATAGTGTAAATAATATTTGGACGTAGGTTTGCCTTATTTTGCATATATATTATTTTAAAACAAGTGGATTGTATGCTGTCCGTTTATTGTTCGAATGTATCGCCAACGAGTGACAGACACCTACTGTAAACGAATCCAGCCCCATACATAGCCCTGACAACCATGTACATACCTAAATTTTCATGACCAGTACATTTTCCCATCATGGACACTTCAATACAGTGCATATTTGTCCTTTTTCAACTTGTATAAATTTACAATTGTGCAATAATTTTAGTCTACCAGCATTTATAATAGCAAATCAAAAGATTAAAATATAAATCCAATTTTCCATCAATACATTTTTTCTTTCAGAAAACGGCCATGTGGGTAACTATGACACAAAGTAGTTTCACAAATCTTACAAATATGACTAAGTAGAGAAATACCAAGGGCATAGGCCTGACTTGTCCAACTGAATAAAGTACACTACAATGGATTATTTTCAAGAACACTGCAGGAATATATTTATCTACAGCAAAATCAACAGTTTTCACCATTAGATGTACAATTCATAATTATATGATAGTCAATTTCTGCTATCTCATGTAATTTTGAGAATGAGTCTATTGACAGTATTACTATTAGGCCTACGTTTGAATTGTTTCCCGGTTAAGCCATAACGTCATTTATCGGACTAGACTTGTCTAAAATCATACAAATTAACCGAAATTTCCTCTCTCATCCATTAAACGAAGTGGTATATTTAATAAACTTCTACCTTGACACTAAGTGAGAGCATCAAAAAGTGAATGTACACAGAAGTTGTCTCTGTACAGTGTATGTTTTGGCGGCGTCTCTGTATAGCCTGACTGGCCAGCAGGCGATATTAGAATGTCGTGGATGATTATTTCAACTTATATGAGTACTTAATATTGTCAGCATTTCAAATCAAAAGCTGTCATGCCGACTTTTGTAGGTGAAATGCCTTCCAAAAAAGACTCGCATATATACTTTGAAACTAGATGTAAACAACCACATCATTTCGATGTCGCGTACAAAAGTTAATATATTGTTGCGTCAGCGAGGTCACGTGACTATTGTCACGCCACTTGCTTTCTAGAACTATCCTGTACCTTGGCGAATGCTCTAGCATTTACTAGATATAGGGTAGTCTGGTATATAGAAGAGGGTGACAACGTGACAGGATAATATGTGTGTGTAGGTAGTGAGTAATTGATCTGCAGTGAGAGAGTATTGTTGAAGTTAACGTTCGTTGTTAGAGCGTTTGTTTTAGCGCGAATGTTGAAATGAAGTGTATCGTAAAGTTATATTCAGAAAGAATAAACCAGTTTTATTAAGTAAGGACT